AACCCAAAACCTTCCGGGACGAGGGTTCAGAGGGTAACCTTAGTGTTTAGGGTTATAGAGTTTACGGGTTTAAGGGTTAGGGTTTCGGGTTTAGGGTTTATTTTTCGGGTTAGGGTTTTAGGGCTCAGACGTGTGCGATTTGGGGGATTCTCCTCAGTCAGTGGCCGCAGCCAGTCCACTACAACATCGCCGTCGTTTTTCCGAGGCTTCCGACTTGTCTGCCCTGTTGAATTTCTCAACCCGGAGCCCCCTCAGCAAAAACCTTAGGGTTTAGGGTTTAGGGTTCAAGGTTTAGGGTTTAGGGTTTAGGGTTTAAGGTTTAGGTTTTGGGTGTTGGGTTTTACCTTAACCATGAAGAACCTACCTTTTACAGTTCCTTATTATGATTTCTTATATGAGTCCTTAAAAAGGTACCCTAAGGGTCCAGGTATCGCTTTAGGAGGGTCCGGAATCTCCTAGGGAGAGTCCTCGGGTCTCTTTGGGGTCTCAGAAACCCTCACTTTTGAGGTTCCCCAATTTATTGGGACCCTTAGCCTGAACCTTAAACCCTAATCAAAGGGGAAAAGGAGGGACCCCTACTAAGGACCCCTACCCTATACTGGGCTATATAATGGGTATATAATGGCTATATTATGGGTATACACCGAGGGGTCCTTATTAGGGGTCCCTCCTTTTACCCTTTGATAAACCATCTGAACCTTTGGTCCCCTGAAGCCTTGGTGTCCTGAATGCTTAAACCCTACGTACCTGTGGCCCAAAAGACCTACCTGTTTGAGGAACTACAATGTGTAGAACCCATTAAAAAAAGGAACCCTAAAAATTTGGGTCTTTCCGGCTACAGGTAAACCTTAAGCCCCAAAGGTTTGTGAACTAAGACCTGGACCCTACATGTTTTGAGTCTAAACCCAGAGACTCCAAGATCCGTTAATTCAGGAATATACCTCTTTAAGGGCTCCTATAAAGGATCTATAGGGCTTAGAGTTTAGGGTGGCCCAATATCCCTGAATTGCGGAATATACCTTAAATTATGATGGGATCCCTGATATGATTTAAGGTATATTCCTTAATGCAAGGAAAATTGTCTGGGAACCCCGAGCCTACACCCCCGGCCATCGCCAGGGGGCTTCGGGATTTCTACATTTCAGTGTGGCGCATCATCCACATTTTCCCCTACATCTTCTGTCGACCATCCTAAGATGTAGAGCTTGATCATGGCTCTTGTCAAGGATTTTGACAAGGATTTCGAGTTTACGGTTTTATGGCGTTTCACACGGGTTTGTCATAAAGGTCTTTGGAGTGTGAAATTCCTTCACTGAGCCTGGTTAGCTGAGCCTACCGATTGCGGCCTGCGTGACATCGAAGGAATCCCAGTTGGAGGGGGCACCATCTGACCCCTTCACCCCGGTTTAGGGTTTAGGAGTTTGGAGTTTAGGGTTTAGGCGTTTTGAGTTTAGGGTTTAGGGTTTAGGGTTTTAGGGTTTAGGGTTTGGGGTTTAGGAGTTTAGGGTTTAGGGTTTAGATCGGCCCCGAATCCAAGAAAGCCGAAAGACTTCCAAGGCCCGAGGAACATGAGTATGAGCCAAAGCGGCAAGCGATCTTTTCGGGATTTAGGGCTACACCCTAAACTGAACCCAAAGCTCTAAAACACCTTAAGCCCTGCATCCTAAAATAAACCCTAAGGCCCTAAGCCCTAAACCAGGCAAGCCGTAAACGAAATCCTGCACTCCGCCTTTGCGCTAAACCTTGAAACCTAATCTAAACCGTAGACCCTAAACTAATCTCTAAGTCCCAACTACACCCTAAACCCTAAACAAAACCCTGCACCCTAAACTAAACCCTAGACCCTGAAGACCCAAACTCCACCTTAAACGCAGAACTGAACCCTACACCCTAAACCCAAAACTAAACCCTAAACTCTCAACCCGATACTGCAACCCTAGTATCGGATCTTGGGGGCTTTCTTCCTAAACTAAACCCTAAAGGGAACGCCAGAAAGTTGGAATATGGTTTCAGGGTAGGATACCTTTTAATTTGCCATAGAAGGGTTTAGGATAATCATATTCCAACTTTCTGGCTTTTACTTTAAACCTTCAGCCCGATACTTCAACCTAAGTATCGGGTCTTGGAGGCGTAAACCCGGCCTAAACCCTAAACTAAAGTTGGAATTTCGGGGGACTTAGTAAGTAGTTGTTTTGTAGAGTTATAATTACCATAACCCCAATTAGGATCTCTTTTAGGGTACTTGTAAGTCTACATTATCGCCTACTTACTAAGGCCCCAGACCCTCCAAGAACCCGAGAGCCTCAACCTAGGTAGCGGGTCTTAGAGGACCCTTCTGACTGGGGACTTCCTCAGAGGGAGGGTTTGGACTTTCCGGACCCCCCAAGTACCCTTTAAGGCTTTGAGGGTTTAGGTTTAATCTCATTAGGATGATTAAGAAACCTTGGGCCTTTATTGGGGTTCCTTATATGAACCCTGCTATTTTGGGGGTTCTGGGCCCAGGGCTTCTCAGTCAGGTTCCTACATTAGGGTGTAGGGTTAGTTAATGGCGCCTGTGGCTTATGGTCTTTACTAGTTACATTAAAGGGAACTCCAGAAAGTTGGAATATGGTTTCAGGGTAGGATACCCTATAATTTACCATAAAGGGTTTAGGATAATCATATTCCAACTTGCTGGCTTTTACATTAGAGGGTAGTTGAGGGGGTCTGGGTTCTTTTGCATCTTTTGCCAGCACGAGAAAAATGGCGGCAGGCTCGGCTTCAGGATGTAGGAGTGATATAGGGAGTTTAGGGTTTAAGGTATAATTACCCTAACCCACCAACACATACTGTTTTGTAGGGTCCTGGTACAATCGATATGAGGGTTTATACCCTAAGGGTCCTAGCAAATCGGGGAACCTCCAAATTGAGGGTTTCTGAGACCCCAAAGAGACCCAAGGACTCTCCCTAGGACATTCCGGACCCTCCTAAAGAGATACCTGGACCCTTAGGGTAGGAGTGATGGGGTTTAGGGCTTAGGGTTTGGGGTTTTGGGGATTGAAGTTTCTTTTTGTGGGTTCTGGGGTGGGATCATTTCAGGCATTTCGGGCCCTTCACACCCAGGGCTGAGGGCATAGCTGGGCTACAAAAGGGGCTTGAAGAATGAGCAGTCATATTCCTTGGGTCTCCCATTAGAGACTGTAGGTATTACTGCTAGTAGTATTCCTTAGGCTTCTCGCCAAGGGTTCAGTGTGGTATACGCCCAACACCTTATTCTAATCATCATGGTCGATTCCCTGAGGCAGAGGTTCTTTATCAGTAATGGGCGCAGCGCATACCAGGTTCTAGTGTTGTGGATCCGTCGGGAGGGTCGTTGAGGTGAGGAGGGTACTCGGGATCGTTAGGGAATCTTACAGGAGCCTCAGGAGGTTTCTTGGGCCTAAACCGTAAACCCTATGGACACCCTAAACACCCTAAGCCCTAGATCCTGTTGTACCTTTTTTGTTAACCCAAGAGACTCTAGGCATACTTTAGAAGGGGCCCCCACCCTGTAATAGTGGTATAATAGGAATATAGCAGGGCCCTAATATAATCCTTATTGTCACTATTACAGGGTGGGGGCAGCTCCTAAGGTATATTCTAACTTCGATCTCCCTCCTTTAAGGATCCTGTCATAGTGGGAGACGGGGGCCGCCTTCGAAATCAATTGGAGCAACACGGTTCAGGTCCTAAACCCAGAGGGTCCAAGTACCCAAATAGTATTCAGGTCCCAAAATCCATACTCTGCATGGTGTAAGTATACTATAATATGCAACAGAACCTGAGTCGACTTATTCTAACTATTCAGGCCCCCTCCCCCAAGGGTCCAAGTATCCAATAATCATATACTCTCCGAAATCCTAACCTACATAACTACTATCCTAAAACCGAGTACCTGATTATTGGGTCCTTTGGCCCCTTGGGGTAAACACTAACCAACACAGCTTGAGTCAGTTGCGACCTTCTCTAAGAGTACTTGGAGGGTCGTGGGTCTTAGTAAGTAGGCAATTCGTAGAGTTATACTAGGATGCCCAGTAGTACCCTTATTCCCTTTTGGTAGTCCTAGGTTCCTTATAGAGTTACCCAATACCAAAAAGAGAGGCTTTTTTATTCTTAGGTTACTGGGTATCCTAGTATAAGTACCCTAAAAGGGATCCTAATTGGGGCCGTGATACCTCCTTAGTAAGTCCAGCGACCCCCCAGTCAAGAGTGTCAGAGGTCATACACAAGGTTCGAAGGAGCGTTGCAAGTGCGCTAAGGGGGACCATCCTACTCAGGTCCCTACTTTGCGTCGACCTCCGCACCATGTCCCTGATATTCCAACGTCACAGAGCCTGGAGCTTGATACAGAAGCCTAAACAAAAACATTTCGTATTCCTTGGAGGTTCCTTATTGTAAGTACCTAGAGGCTCATACCCTACCCCTTTTTTTGGATATCTAGTTTTATGGTTAGGATCTGTTATCGTTAAAATTAGGCGCCCAAAAAAGGGGGTAGGGTATGAGCCTCTATGTATACTATAATATGCCCCAGAACCTGAGTCGCCTTATTCTAAATATTCAGGCCGCCGCCTGTGGGTCTAAGTTCCTATCTTGCCTCGAGCTTTTCGTGACCGCGCTAACTAGCACTACCCAGAGACTCCAATATCCCATAAATAAGAAAACGGCAAATTATGGTAGGATCCCTCGTATGGTTTAAGGAATATATGCCGTAATAAGGGATATTGGAGGACTTTGCGGACGTCGCTACTTCCATAATCCCAGCAGTGCAGATTCCAGTCGCCGTCTCGGCCCGCCCCTTCTCGCACTGAGTTTCCGTGTCTTCACTTTGGTCCATGAACGATTTCGGTCGAGGGTTCAGGGTTGAGGATTTAGGAGCTCTCTCCAAGAGCATAACTGTAGTCACCGGAGTCTTGGTCACGTTCGGAGTATCTGGGCTTCCTCTTTCCCCGTGCTCTTTTGCTACCTCCCGGGAGTGCGCTGCTATGGCCTTCCACGGACGCAAGCACGGGGTGCCCGCCGCCGAATGGGATCTCGTGGATGGCATTTTCCTACGCAACATCCCAGCGAAGTGTGATGAAGGGACCGTTTGGGGGGTTTGGGGTCTAGGGTTTTGGGACTAGCGGCTTAGGGCTTAAAGTTTTAAGTTTTTAAAATCCCAAAGTCCTACTAGCCCTGCCATGAAGCTTAAACCCCCAATTCAACCCTCGAAACGCTGGACTTTCTCACCCCTAAATGCCAAACCCTTAAATCCTGAACGCCAAGCCCTGACGGTGTTTGGTTTAGCATCTACAGTCTGGGTTTTATCTCGGGGTCCAGAAACTTGCTCAAAGCCTATTCCAATTATTAAGGCCCCTACATTAACACCTTTCCTCTGGCTTCCCATCGCGAGGATTCTCCGCACTTTTTTCGAGTCTAAAGGGCTGGTCGATTTTGAGATGGAGACGCTTGGCGAGGTTGATCTGTCAATGTTTTTAGCGGTTTAGGGTCTAGGGGTTTAGGGTGTAGGGTTTGTAATACTGTGTCATGAGGGTGGTGTTTTATTTCTTGAGAAGGTCGTGGACTAATCTTGTGGGTTTCAAAGTTTGCGACTAAAGGTTCGTGGGGCTTCACTGACAAGGATTGTTAGGGGGGATTCGGGTTTGGGGGTTGGCTCACGGAAGGATCCCTTCCACACCTTAAAATTTAAGCCTTTAAAAATCCCTAAACATTAAACTTAAACCTTACAACACCTCGAGCCCTGCACCCCAAACCCAAAACCTCCTGGGCTATGCTGCCAAGTTCAAGTTCCTTGGGATGGGGGTTTGGGTCTCGGGTTTCGGTGTCGAAGGTCCCTGGAGCGGTTTAAGTCTCTAAGCGTTTTCGTCCGCACATTCAGGTTTAGGAGTTTAGGGTTCAGGCTTCACGGTGCAGGATTTACCCTAAACCCTAAACCCTGAACCCTAAACCCTAAACCGTTTTCGGGTTGTGGGGTTTAGGGCTGAGGGGTTACCTGGCATTCCTTCTCTACGGGCTAACTCGCCTGGTAGTCCCCTTACACCTTTTTGTGTTAGGGTGTAGGGTTTAGGCTTCGGAGTCCTCCGATAAAGACCGAGTATCAGGACAAAGGGGTGCTTTATGTTTAAGTTGTTACAGCGCTTTGCGTTGTGTTTTGGGGACCGCAACCCCAAGTCCTCTCAAGGTTTCCCCAAGGCTCCGAGCAATTCCCAACAAACAGCATCAACCTGCAAAGCTACCAGTACTACAGTAAAAGCCCAAAAGTTGGAAACCCAACAGCCTCCATCCTTCAGAGCAATGTAAAGCGAATCCCAGCTCCATTTGGCCTTAATCCGGTTTCCAACTTCATGGGGTTTACAGTACCCTAAACCCTTGTCCTGGGGCCTCCAAAACCCCCAAAACAGTATAGAACCCTTATACAACTAATTATTGGGGTCCCAAGACCTTAAGCCCAAAGCCCTGTACCCCTACAACCTAAACCTAAACCCCCCAAAACTTAAATCCTCAAACTCTACACCCTAAACCTAAATCCTTAAATCCTTAAAGCTTGCATCCTAAACCCTAAGATCCTAAATCCAAAATACTATAAACCCTTACTATATCCTACGCCTAAAGCCCTAAACCCGTAGATATCCCCAGGAGCCTCCCAGCAGGATCCAGGCTTAGATGTTGAGGTTCCCGCACGTAGGATGGGTTTCGGGCTCAGAGTTTAGGATTTAGGGTTTAGGATTTAGGGTTTAGGGTTTAGGACTTAGGAGATTAGGGCTTAGGGTGCGGAGTTTGGAGTTTAGGGTGTGTTGAAAAGTATGAGTGGCAGAAGGGTACGCTTCTTTAGAAATGGTGACGCACCCACTTATCGCGTGCAGGCGCCAGCATGTACCCCCGCCCCAACCACTCCAACTATTCTCAATTAGGGTTTAGGGTTCACCCCCCAAAAACTTCCTTCAAAGGGGGGCTTTCTTGCTCTCTGCTTCCCTTCGAAGTTCTGCATGACATGATCACACTTCCAATCAAAGCACAGCTGAGATGGATTGCTGTTGGGTTGTGGGTTCTCGCGGCCTGTCAGTGCCGGCCGCTCGACGAGAAGCAAGCGTTTCCAACAAACGCTGCGCCCCTTACCACGGCAGGGCAGGGTAGGGCAGGAGAGGTTATTCGGAGGCTTGGCCGGGGGCGGTCGGAGCCTCGAGCGCCCATGTAAATCCGCTCTCGGCAGTTTTGGGGTTTAGATGATTTAGGGCTTGGGGTTCGAAGTTTAGAGACCCGAATTTACTCTGTGTGTTTTTAAGGGTTCAATCCGGTTTGTGTTGGAGAGTTTTGAGGCGGTCCAGAGGATTCACGGTGCAGGGTTTAGGTCTTCGGGGTCACACATGGTTGAAACCTACCCAAAGGGTCCAGGTATCTCTTTAGGAGGGTCCGGAATCTTCTAGGGAGAGTCCTTGGGTCTCTTTGGGGTTTCCGAAACCCACAATTTTGAGGTTCCCCAATTTGTTAGGACCCTTAGGGTAAATCCTGCACCCCCAAGCCCTTGATCTCGATCTTGGGGTTAGGGTGTCGTTCTCTTGCGGTCATGGGGCACCCACGAAAGCAACATGCAGCAGCGATGACGGTTTGGGGTCAGCGTTTAGGGGGACCCTACATCCCGGCTACGGCTCAAGTGCCCTTGAAAATCAGCTGGAAGACCTGTAGGGGGTGACGTGGCATGGATCCTGCAGACATAGAGATCGAGGACGATGCTTCGTCAACACATTCTCCAACCGATGTGGTCAACTCGGGGGATGACCAAGACTTCTCGGACGTGGATGAAGCGGACGGAGTGGAGAATGGTGAGATGAGTTCCAAAAGGAAGCGGAGAGCACCAGTGGGAAGGGAAGACAGTCCGTCGAAGCGAAGTTCGGCCGCCTCGGGGGAGCCAGCCATGACAGCCTCGGAACTTCGTGTTCTGCTTGGCGAACACCTTCGTGACATCAAACAAGCATGGGGTGACATACAGGATAGAGTCTCAGCGGTGGAAAAGGTGGCGCAAGGACACAAGAAAGAATTGAAGGTGGTACATGGTAAGACCAAGGCCCTAGAGAACCAGGTCGCGGGGATCCAAGCCAAAGGGGACGCGACAACGAGGAGGACGGATGAGCTTGAAACGAAGATGGACCAACTTGCTGCCAAAGTGGAGGGACTCGGGTTGATGAGTGCGGTCAAGAACGGTGAAGCAGTGAACGACCCATGGGCGGACTACTTGGCACAGCGCAAAGAGGGTACTTCAGGGCAGGGCGACAAAGGAGGAGAAGATCGCAAAACGACTCTAAGTGAGGAAGACCAGCGCTCGCTGATTCTCGGTGGATGGCTTGCTGACACCAGGCGCTCCATCATCGAGAGTGAGTCCCAGAAAATCCTCGAATCCCCTGATCTGGTGAAGTCATTGGATACCAACAAAGTGGTGGTGTTCGGGCCGCGTAAGAGCTTTGGGATCCTTCGCTTCAAGCTGCGAGATGGGGAGACGTTCGCCGAACTCCGGGCACGTATGTGGGAAGTCGTGAACTTCGTCAGGCAAAACAAGCAAATCCTCGAGAGCACCTCTGACCTTGGGGAAGAGGGTCGTGCGATGTGGGCTTCGTTCCTCAAATCACCGGAAGCTCGTAAGAAATCGGCTATGTGCTCCCTGACGAGAAGGGTATGCATGCGCCTCGCCGCTTCAAAGAAAGGTGGAGAGGGAGCCCTGGCCCAGGGAGCGGCCACCTCAGCTTCGGGGTATGATGTGGACTGGACGAGTGGCACAGTGTGGAGTGGGAATCACAAGATTTCCAGTGCATCTCACAGGAAGGATGCCAACAGGATCGATGACTACTTCCTGCTGAAGCTTGGCTGGGTTGACCTTCGTGCAGTCGTGGCAGTGGCAGGGTGTGATTGGTCGGAGGCTCTTGCAGCCTTCCAGCAAGAACAGTGATCAGGGCGACACCCATGTTTCACCGACATGGCAACTAACCACCCCGTAGGGGTGAAGTCTATGTTGCAAGTGGCTACCTGGAATTTGGGAGGGCAGGCCGTGGAAAAAGTGGCTACGGCAGCTCCGTGCACGGACATTTTCTTACTACAAGAAGTGGCGAGATCGACGGAGGGATGGTCAGAATCAGAGACAGACACGCACTTCTGGCTCAGTCATAGGGATGGTCACCAATGGAGAGGGACGGCGATTGGAATATCACTTGACGTCTTCGACTCAATCATTGGGAAGAAACACACCAGTCGTGGGATCATGGCGTTGGTCAAACTGAAGGGTCGAGGGAGAATTCTTCTCGGAAGCGTGCATTGCCACACGGGGGCAACCAATGCGGTTTATCAAAAGGCAGCTGAGGCGTTTGTCAAGACCTCTGATGCAGCGTGGCGTCAATACCCCTGCATTATTGGAACCGACCTCAACGAAACTCTTCGATGGGGTGACGAGGGATTGCTGGCAGGGTCAGCTAACCTCAATTTCTTTGCGGATGGTGCCAGTGCAATGGGGTGGATGCCGGTGACACCCAAACCGGAATTCCAGGACACGCCTACTCACTATCCGAGGGATGCCAGCAAAATTGGCAACCAAATCGACTCGGTCTGGACAAGGCAGGTGGCGATCAGCCCCACGGTGATTGATGCTGATGCCAGATTTAGAATTGGTACAGACCATGCTCTGCTCCTGAACAAGGTGATGCTTAAGTGCAAACCAATGAAGTGGAACGGTGACACCAGGGCCAGATATGTGGTTGGGGTTTTGCCCACCACACCCTTGATTGAGGTTGCGGACATCGAACAATTGGCGAGGGATCACGCAAAACCGCTCAAGGGGATGAGATATACTGACACGCCAGAGGTCTTGGAAGCAATACAACATGCGAAGAATGCAGGGAATGACAAGCATCTTTGGCGAGAAGTTCATAGGCGACGTCAACAAGCGAGACGAAGGTGGGAACAAGACCGCATCGAGCGCATCCTACACGGTGACTGGACGGCGTACAGAGCACGTAAGCAGCAACTCAGCCGAAAGCGGGGATGGTGGGGCAAGATGCTTGAAGCAAGGGATGAGGAACAACTGACACAACTGGTGCAAAACCATCTTGAAACAAAACTTCGAGGGCCTGCCGCTGACGATTGGAATGCCAAACTGGAGGAATACAAACGACACATCCATGTTGACGGTGATTGGACACCTTTCTCGGTTGATGACCTACGGTATGCACTGGGGGCGATGAAACCCAAAGCCTCCGTGGGGGTTGACCTTATCGGGGTGAGCCTCCTGCGAGCAATTGCGGATGATGACCATCTAGTTCACGACCTGCTGGGGATTGTGAACCACCTGGTCGATACTGGGTTACTTCCGGCAAAGTGGGAGACATCTATCTTGGCTCTTCTTCCAAAAGTTGATGTTCCCACTGCAGCGGGGGATGTTCGACCGATTGCTATGTCCTCCGCACTGCAGAAATTGGTGTCCAAACTCACAATGGAGAGGACTTTTCCCCACCTCAGAGGACCCAGTGACTTCTCTTGCTGTGGCAAAAAGAGACAGGCGGCTGACCTGGTGGGGTGCTTCACGAGACTTCGTGATATATGCAAAGAGTGGCGCATACCACTCCTCATTACAAAGCTTGACATCCAGGGGGCGTTCGACTCACTTAATCGTGATGCGGTAGCGACATATCTGTGTCACAGACTGGAACACTGCAATGTGGGGCGCGAACTGAGATTTCTCCTTGAACAGTTGCGGACAAATATTCTGGAAGGCCAGGTCCCGGGCGCCAACAGGATCCAGGTTCAATGCACAACTGGCATTCGGCAAGGAGCGCCTGAATCCGCTGAGCTTTTTGCACTAGTTCTAGAAGATATGCTTTCCCAAATGAGGGAAGACCCCAGATGGACAAAACTGGGATTTCCCATTGATGACCTTCATGTTGATTTGCTCATGTACCAGGATGACCTCTTCCTGTGGGAATCTTCAACTCGGAGGCTTGAAATAAAACTCCAGCTTATCGGGGAGTACCTGGGACGACTGGGACTCAAACTTGCCCCAAAGAAGACAGCAGTGGTGTGCACGCCGGAGTACACAGGACCAAGATGTCTACACCTGGTGGGTGAGCGCATTCAGGTACAACCCCCTACCCAACCCATCAAGGTCCTGGGCCTCAAGTTTACGTTCGATGGTGATCAATCAAGCCAAGCAAAGGAAATGATTGGTAGGGTTAGGGCTGCCTTTGGTGAACATCGGACACTACTCCGTGGCAAAGCTGGCTGGTTGAACAAAATTCATGCGATCAAAATGTTGCTTGAGGGCACTTTCGCATGGATAGCTGGCGCTCTGTACTGGCATGGGGCTGACTTGGGAGCCCTAAACACCTTGCAACTACATGTCTTACGTGATGCTTTCCAACTCAGAAGGAGAGCAGGGGAAGACTGGGTTACTTGGAACAAGCGCTCGTTTCGAGATTTGAGATCCTGGATACAACAACAAGGGATTGACAGGTGGAGCACAAAGGTCAGACCTCTTCCGCAACGTTGTCCCCAGCAGAGTTGGTTTCCACTGAGTCCACATACAAGACGTTTGTCAGGATCGTTCCTGTATAAGTCATCGTTGCCTCCGTAGGTTGTACGCCCAAGCCGACCGAGAGGCAAAGCCAGATGGCGCTCACCCCAAGCGGAAAGGCCGTCATCGACATCGAGAGAATATGGATCAAATTGTGTATAGGCTCCAAGTTTTGAGCAACACACTCGTCGACATGCAACTCCCAAGACTGCACAGCGCCACACTCAGCAAGTAGCTTCACAAAGGTCACCATGTAGGGTTTGGGAATCTGTCTTAGTTTACTCCCGCATTCTCGTTGTCCTTCAGCATCGGCTGTCGCAGCCGAGTCCAAGGAAGGTCAGAGGATTCGAGCCAAACATGTTGTCTCCCTGCCCAGTCTGTCCTATCAAGGGTGAGATTCAACCACCCCGTCCCAAGGCACGTCGCCAATTCTCTTTCGACATTGGAGGGATAAAATTGATGTGGATGTCGAACCCCCCCAGCTCGTTTGGTGATCTTTTGTTGATCCCTCCACCAGCCCAAGCTTCTCCATGTCAGAAAGCGGGCAGCTAGCCCAGGCGCCGGCATCACACCCTTACCGTCATCTTCACATTGTCGTCCCCAATGACCGCTAATGTTGAATTGCAGTCACCGCCGATTACGTGGACGCGAAGGACACTGACTATAAGGGGGTGAACTTGGGGCAAGTACTTCCTCCAGCTTTTACCGCACCAAGCTCTGAGGTGGAGTACACTGGAGCAGCTCCGCTCACCGATGTAAACCCACCTGTTCAGGGGATGAGCAATGACTTGGATGGCATGTCAAGTGAAACTACGACAGGTGCTACGTGGACATGGAGACAAGAGGAAGATGACACACACATGGATGAAGATGGGGTGACCTTGGTACAAATCCCCTCGACTACGACCTCTACTACGACAACGAACCCAGGGGCGACTCCTCCTCAGCCTCCAGCTCCCTGCAATGAACGCCTACATCACACCGGGATGCTAAGCGAGCTGGTAGTGGATCCAGTACAGAATACGACGTATCTGCTACAGCTAGCACATGGGCGAACCACGACCGTGGATGTGATGCAGTTGAGGCCCATGACGGAGAACCCCTTCATCGATGTTGCGTACCTACCGGAGCGAGAGGACCCGGTACAACAATACGTGCATGAGGTCGTCGAGGACGTGCTCAGAGAGTTGGCGGGTAGACAGAGAATGGGTCTGGGGCCGCAGGCTAGATGGGCTGTGCATCGCCATGCCAGGGGAGTTCAGTTGATGGCCGAGGCCTTGGGACGTTACAGAGACGCCTTGCTCCACAGCATCTTCCCGCCGACCAACGAACCCAGGACCGCGCCCCCCCGCAGCGCCGATGAAAGTACCCGTCTACTGGAATGGGCCTCGGGGTTTGAAGGGCATGTGTGGATCCTAGCCCGTGCGGCACTTGACCTGGCACATGAGGAGGATGAGCAGGCCATACAACGCCGCAGGATGGAAGAGGATCGTGTAAGACGCCACAACGAGCTCATTGCTTTGGGGGAAGAATTTCAACGGCAACCTCGTCCACGACTTCCAGGCCCACCACCGAATTTGGGCGTCAGGGTGCCGATGAGGAGTACTACCCGTTCCAGAAGCCCACCTCCAGTTGGAGAGGGGCCAGGGGCGAGCTCGTCATGGGAGCCTATGCGACCACCCATGCCTGTGCAACCACGACCCAGAGTGCAAGCTCCTCCGGTCAGTACGTTGATGGCTATGATGAGTAGCTCGACTGTCGGACATGGTCCCACAAACATGGTGGGTGCAGCGGTGTCTGGACCAACAATGGAGCATATGGGACGACCTACCTTACGGAGCCCCTTGCCTATGCCGCCGACTTTCTCCTCGAGTTCACAGGGCATATCTGGGGCGATACACTCGGTCAGCCAACAGAGTTCTACAGTGACTGGGATGGGAGTTGCGAATAGGCCGATGAAGCCTCATTTACCTGAGGGCCACATCCCTGCAGCTCCCACGCAACACTTTGGGGCGACGACACCGTTTGATGAAAGAGGAATCCCAGTCACCCCGCAGATTCCGACAGCGCCCAATAATGCACCGGCGCCTGTTACCCCCTGGGGGGAATTCGACACCGATGAAGTCATCCTGGACATCCTTGGGGGCGAGACACCGCTGGCGAGTAGCACGTCAACCACGACGGGGGTGTTGTCACATACGCCAACAGTCCTGGAACTGTCGAGTACCACGACGACCACGACACTAGAGGTGAACGAGGGACAGCCTACCGGTGACACTTCATCTTTGCCCAGGGAGGTAGACGCTGAAGCTGATCTGGATGCCCCTGCTGCACTGCCCTTGCTTACAGCTCAGGACATGGCCCTGGTACAAGCTATTGCTGATGTTGTTACAGTGAGGGTGGAGGAGCTACTCCAACAGGCGAACGTGTTGCCAGGGAACCAGTCCCAGCCGCCATGGAGGACAAATGCAGGGCCCTATGATAGGATATGGAACAATGCCAGACGTCACCGGTATGAGTGGACCATCGAAGATACCTGGAGTCACATAGTACAGGCAAGCAGATCTCAAAACCAACGTGTGCCCCTAGCCGAACGACGTCTCTACGGACTTCTGCTGGGGCGCCTGGACAGGGAGAATGATGATTCTACGAACGAGGGTTTGCTTGGTGACCCCACGGTTGCGGTACCAGAGGATGGTCCTGGTGAGACTACTACTCCAGGGTCTGAAGGGTCTGAAGTGTTGACAACTGGTCAAGATGCGGATGCTCCTTCTCTTCAACCTCGACCTTCTACAGATGCACGAGTACCCGATGCAGAAGAGCGAGATATACAAGAACGTTTGGGATCCTAGTCTCACCTCTATGGGCCCAAGGATGGGCGGGCAGGTGGAAAAAGGTCCGACTGTCATCATAGATCAAAAAAAAAACGTGAGAAAGCTTTTGAGCCGTAGATGTTGTAGAGGCCTGGGCCATATGGCCAGACTAAACCACAACCTCCAAACACGAAGCCATAAAAGCTAAGCGTCTGTACGAAAGAGAGCCCTTAAAAGGTACCTCATTCTACTTCCAAATTGCAGCCGTGTCAAGGTACCTTCGGGTACCCTTCAGGCGTGTTGGTACCCAGAGCTTCCAAAACCTTCAATTGATTCAGCAATGCACGCCTAACGTATAGAGAGATCCTGAAGGTATGTTCAATGGTCAAGGGCCCCAAAACCTGTGTCAGACAGCTTATGAAGCCTAAACCTTAAACCCTAAACCTTACAGACCTTAACTTAATCAAAGGAACCCGTGCAGGAAGCCCTGAAGTCCCTAAAGGAACCCTCAAAAGTAACCCCTTACTTGGAGGGTCCCTGAACCCTAAATCCCCCCTAAACCTTGAACCCTAAAGCTTCCCGACAACCCGAACCTTAAACCCCAAATAGCTATTTTGTAGGGTTATAAGTACCATAACCCCAATTAGCATCCCTTTTGGGGTACTTATAAATCTACTTACCAGGTCCCCCGACCCTCCAAGTAAGGGCTTGGCAAATGCCAGGATCCTTTGGAGTCCTTCAAACTGAAATCCCATGCAATCCCTAAGCCCTAAACCCTAAGCCCTAAACCCTAAACCCTAAACCCTAAACCCTAAACCCCTAAACCATCCTACTCTAAAGCTTCCCGACAACCCGAAAGCCCTAAACCCTAAATCTTCCCCTAAACCCTAAAATTTTCCTGTAGCCGAACAGACTTACCCTTTTAAGGTAGTATATTCGTATAGAAACCATAATAAGGAACCCCTGAAAAAAGTACGCCCTGAGTCCAAAACCCCAGGATGGCACGCTTTCCGAATGGCAAGTCGCGTGGATTTGCTACGATCCTCTGTCGTGCGAAGACGCTGAGCTGAGCTACCGGTGTAGGGTTTCGGGTTTAGGGTTTCGGGTTTAGGGTTCACGGTTTCGGGTTTAGGGTTTAGGGTTACTAGATACTAGAGTAAACCAGATCCTGTTCTGATGATTAAGACAGATAGGGCTTTCGCCTTTATCGTTTCAGCTTTCGGGTTTGGGGTGGCCGTGGTGAGCGAAACCCTTCATCTAGGATGCCCAGTAGTACCCTTATTCCCTTTTTGTAGTCCTAGGTTCCTTATAACGTTACTCAATACCAAAATGAGAGGCCTTCTTATTCTTAGGTTACTGGGTATCCTAACCTCGAAAAACCCTGCAACCCCAAACCCTGCAACCGTGAAGAGCAGGGGTCGCAGAAAATCGCTTAACAATTGCCTTGCTTGAAACCAGTACGTAGCCCTTTGAGTTCACCGGCTGCCCAAAGTACTAATGCATACCTTTGGTAGATTATGAGATTATGCCTATTCTTATCGTTGCACTGCGCCCCCTTTGATAGAACCCTTAAGCCCTGAAGAAGTAAGCCCCGACGCTCAACAAGAACAAGCGGAGGTTTGCGAAATCCAAGCTTCAACCCTAAACCCTAAACCCTAAACCCTAAACCCTAAACCCTAAACCCTAAACTCTAAACCGAAACCCACCGACTGACCTCAGACCCTGCACCCAGAGGCTCCAAATTCGCTTAAGTAGGGAATAATTAGACTTCCTAGGATGCCCAGTAGTACCCTTATTCCCTTTTTGTAGTCCTAGGTTCCTTATAAAGTTACCCAATACCAGAAAGAGAGGCCTTTTTATTCTTAGGTTACTGGTTATCCTAGGTAGGGAATAGACTTCAAATCATATCAGAGATCCTACGGTATTCTAAGGTATATTCCTAACTCAGTGATATTGCAATCTGCGGAATGCATAAGTCCTTGAAAGCCGGCCTCGACCCCCGACTACCGGACCTTGAAACCCAAACCCGCATACTCTCCAATCTTATTAAAGCCTTCGTGAGATGCCCTTTATAATGAGGACCTTTAGGGGGTAAGGGTGAGGGGGTAGGGGGTTTAACACCATTAAACCCTGATAGGGTCTTATAGGGCCGGTTTAAGGGAGAAAGGAAAGTCCCCTACCCCTCCCCCTGAACCTCCATAAGAGTCCCTATCGTATGACTATACCACCCGCATAAATCCTGACAGACGGAGGTCTGGCATAAAGGACTTCGTCCTGAACGTGCACGGCCAGTTTGTTCCAGGCTTTCACAAGCCAACAGCGCTAAGGCTCGACGACTCCGTCGGTTAATATAAGCGCCTACTAGTAGCTGGTTTAGGCTTGCTGAACAAGGTTCTTCTACTCTAAAATAAAAGATGCTAGCAAGCTCAAGGAAGACCACGGCCAATTATTCAGGCTCCTATGTTGCTTACGTTTGGAAATTCTGGGGCCTGGGCAGTGTAGGTTGGGTATCGGGCCTTGGCGTAAATTTGCAGTCTGGGGTGCTGGTGTGTCGAGCCACATGTGGTGTGCACGGTTTAGGGATTTGGGGGTTGGATGCTTGCAGCGGCCTACATATCATGACGCAGACATGGAACGCCCGAAGCAGCCGCAGTCGACCTAACAGTAGGCAACGCCGAAAACACATTCGAGGCTGCAATTCAATAGTTTTGAGTTCTGGTGAAGTGAAGGAAATTGCCGTGGTAAGGATACCACATTACTTACTAAAGATCCCTACTTTGATACTTTAAACGAATGTCCTTGACAAGACCCCAGACTTAGCTTCCTTAACTAGGATGCCCAGTAGTACCCTTATTCCCTTTTTGTAGTCCCAGGTTCCTTATAAAGTTACCCAATACCAAAAAGAGAGGCCTTGTTATTCTTAGGTTACTGGGTGTCCTAGTTAAATTCAGCCTTGCCAGGAACATTCATTCAGTTTACGCATGCAAAGCCGAATCGAGGGCTGAAGTTCTACGGTGCGGAGGTTGCAGTCCTACAACCAAAGCCCTAAATCCTACCTGGACCCCAAAAGTATGTAGAATAATAGCCCTTTCTAGGTTTTGGGCCATTAGTTTACCTACTTCTGGCAGTTTAGGTAAACACTAAACCTTTAACCTTAAATCCTAGAGCCCAGGGCTTGATAGTCCTGTGCACAATGTGATGCTACTTGGCTGTGGCCCTAAACACTAAGCCTAAGCACTTGCCTCCAGATCTCCAGTTCCCTAGACCCGAAAGGGTTTAGGCTTTTTGCCACCATGCCCATACTTCGAATTCGACAGCTTCCAGGAACCTAGCTAAATTTTAAGGCTGTTGTCCTGCATGTGGCTTGCAACCTCAACCCTAGACGCAAAAGCCTAAAGCCCTAAAGCCCCTAAATCCTGTCTAAAGCCTAGGATGCCCAGTAGTACCCTTATTCCCTTTTTGTAGTCCTAGGTTCCTTATAAAGTTAATTACCCAATACCAAAAAAGAGAGGCCTTGTTATTCTTAGGTTACTGGGTATCCTAGTATATTCTGGTACCCTTATAGATCCCTTATAGTAGCCTTTCTAAAGGACCCCTTTAAAGGAACCCTAGTAGTCTTTTTATTCTTAGGTTACTGGGTATCCTAGTAAAGCTGAAAGCCCTGAAACCCTTAGCCCTCAGGCCTCGCCACCCAAAGCCAAAGACTACGGTTGATGATATAAATCCTGCATTACCTTAAGGACCCTAAACTATGGGAATTATGGTATATTCCTTATTATGGGTAATGCAGGATTTATATCATCAACAGTATGTCGGGAGTTTCCGCAAATTAGGTGTAATTACCTTATAGTAAGGATCCTACTACTTAGGGTGCTATATTAGGATCCCATATTTTCGGAAACTCCCAAATTGTGGAGGGCCTGAATAATTCGATTATTTTGGTCCCCTATTGTCGGAATTTCCTATGTAAATAATAAACCCTGCCAGGTGCGAACCGCTGAGAAGCCAAGATAAACAAGGGCAGCAAGGACGATACCACAACGCTTGGACAAATCGTGTCCTGGTCACAAAGCAGAACCAGTACCGGTTATATGGCTCTATAATGAGTTCTGCTCACTCAAATTCCGGCCAGGTTACAATGCCGTGATTTAGGGTGTCATGCTTCGGAGCTTGAGGGTGTTTAGGCTTTTGGCGACGTGTGGTCGGAGGTTTGGGATTTTGATGTTGCTCGGCCGTCTTGAAACGAGTTGTGGTTTCGAGTGTTCAGTCCATACTACTTAGCATAGCCTTTGCCGTAGCAGCCGCAGGAGTTTTACAATGCGCTAAACCCTAAACCCCAAATCCTAAACCCTAAGCGACCCTAAACCCTAAACCCCAACTCCTAAACCCTAAACCCTAAACTTATAAGTCCTAAGCCCCAGATCCGATTGTGAAACTGGAGCACCATGTGGTTATTGGTTGCTCTCTGCCTTCCTGGGTCCCTTGAGCCTTGTATCTCTATCTTAACCCGGAATAACCTACCTTCTTAAGGGCTTATATAAGGAAATCATGATAAGGAACCCCAAAAAGGTAGATTATTCAGGGTTCAGGTAGTGGTTCGGCTGGGGATTTTTACGTCGTAGAGCGCTCATCTTCTGCAAGGGCTTCTTCAGAGAAGCCAAGGTTATGGCGTGGACGGCGTGGCAGACATGGAACTGAGGAGCAGTATCACGACAGGAAAAGCATTTGGGTGGTTGGGTTTCGGGTTACCATTAATCGCCCTTATTATAACGCGGGGCCCCAAATAATTACTTATGTGTACTTTTTTGGGGTTCCGTATTATAAATATAGTATAGTGGGCCCTAAAAGCCTATTCTAATTATTAAGGCCCCTACAGTACAGCCCTTCAGGTGAGTCCCGGAATGCGAAGGCCACCGGAGCAAGAGCTTCGAGTTTGGTTGCGCGCAGCGGCGCAGCCAGGGCGATGGTCGAGCCTGGGCAGAAGGAATCGTGTGCCTAACAGACCGACGCACAGACGCACGGACAAACGGACACGCAGACATACAGAGACAGAGACACAGGCAGAGGCAGAGGCATAGGCAGAGGCGGAGGCACGGAGACAGACCCAGAGGCAGGCAGGCAGGCAGACGGACAGGCACACGTACAGACGGACAGACGGACCCACACAGACACACACGCACACAGACTCATGCGCAGAAGTACACACAGACCCACTTACAGACCCACGCACACACGCACACACGCACACACGCACACACACACACGCACACACACACACACACAAAAACGCACACACACACACACAGACATACACATGGAATGACCCTCGATATGACCGAAGTCAGAACATGGATTAGCAAGCTAGTTTCATCTCTTCGCTCACATCTCTTCACTCACATCTGTGACAACACATCTCTGCTCATCGGCCACTAGGAATCAACAGCTTCTGGGGCATATTTTGGGCGGCTTCTGCAGGGACGGGTTCGTGCGTCCACGAACCCATCACGGGAAACAAGAGCCGTTCGTTGGTGCCATCATTCTTGTTCTCCTGGCACCGCCCCCTGCTTTTTTGCGTTCAGTCGTGTGTGAGACGTCCCTTGGTCTCAGGGTGGTACACACACAGC